TCGACGCAACATAGCACGCCAGGCACGGGCGCATTATAATGTGTAGAAACGAGAGGACGTATGAGTGTTATGAGTGTTATGAGAGTCATTATATGAGTGCACCCGTTTTGTCAGTAAATGGACGGCTCTTGTGTCGCGGCGATGCCCCAATGTGAAATTGCCACACTATATGTCACACGCTACTAGTAGAGCGTGACAGTTGACGCTTTTTTCTAAATGTTTTGTATTTGATACAGCAAGAATATCATAACGCATAAGGCTGATAACAGTGATTTTATTTGATAAGAAATTTTTATAATTTTTATGATTTGTAATTAGCCCAGTGAACTCTGAGCTATTTACATGTCAACCCTCGTCTTTGACAGGCAAACCTCATCAGGTGTGTAAATTGACCAAAGACATTTGTGTCTTTATGCGAGGACACGTTTTTCTCATTCTCATTCTATACATACACTAATACAAGATATAAAGGATTCTATGACATTTTCTTTCGGATTAATTCACTATAATTTATTTATAAAATCTCGTCGGAGCTTTATATCCATCTACTCCTGGATATGTTCTCACTACATGTGTATAACTTCAATACAATTATATAATATGAATATGTTTCGTTTAGTATCATACACTACTTCTCATACGCGACACTGGCGCCGACCAACGGCAATGGAGAGTGTACTGAATGTTGAGTAGATTGGGCCCCCTCTTATTATATAAATCTAATATAATCTATCCCCTATATAATCTATGGTCTATATTAATTAGCGCCTATAATGATTACAATCTGTTTTTAATTTCGCTATTAATTTCAATTATGTTGTGCATGTAATTATACTATATATAAATANTATAATTAAAGGACTGAGTCATAATTTGAATATATTTCGTTTCCCACACTTAGCTGTATATAATAACTATTTTAATATATATAAATATAATTATATCTACACATATATAAGGGCCGGTCAATGGTAATTAAAAATGTCACTGCAGGTCTATAATAATTGGCGCCTAATGATTACAATCTGTTTTTCATTTCGCCATTAATTTCAATTATGTTGTGCATGTAATTATACTATATATAAATATAAACAGGTAAATAATATTTTGGAATAAATAATAATTATAATATATTATAATGTTATTATAAATATAGTCAGTAATTTTGTGATAACCGCCTGGTCTGAATCATGGTTTTATAATGGTTTATAATGGTTTTATAAAGCTCGTGTTTCACAAAGCGGTATGGCGTCTTACATAGCATGTTCCTACATTTGCAGGTGAAATCAAACGTATATATATATATATATATA